GGATCCATTTTACTAACTTTTATCTTTGGTATAGCCAGCTCTATTTCTTAAAAATTAAAGGAACCTTTTTCTGTGAAATATGGCAAATATATTACAATTTGTGTACTTGAAGTTAGTGTAAGAAGTGGAAAAGGGTCCTCTCTAGTTATTCCAGTTTTAATTAGCGCAGTAAGCAGAATAAAGAATGAATTTAGAGCATTCGATAATTCAGTCTTTTCCTTACTTTATTCGTTAAAGAGAAAACGTGTTGTGTGCTCATATACGAAAAAAGAATCAGAATTAAGAGTTGTATGATCAAAGGGAATAAAAAATAATGGCCATTTTCCTGTGAGAATTATTTATAATTCTCACAGGAAAATAGCCATTATTTTTTAACTCGTCGTGCTGATTCCGAATATGTAAAAATCTCGGGGAGCGCTTCTCTGAAAAAAACCATCATATTTTGATATGAGTTTCTGTATACAATGCGTTCAAAAGTAAAGCTACAAGAACTGTTTCAAGTTTGCATAATATCAACCCCAAAAACGTGCAAAAAATTTCGACATAAATGTTGCTACGTTAGTTAAAGACTTTATCCAGGATGCTATCTCTCGAAAAAAATAGTGCATTTTATAGAAAACTAAATTCACTATTCGACAGGACATATAATTATTGAAAGGACAGGGGCGATTATTTCATGGAATCAGCCCCTGCTTGAATTTCATTGACACACACATGGTTAGATGCAGAATGAACAGGAGAAAATTCTAGCTACTTGGCAGACCTTCGAATTGCTCTCAGAAAAAATTGAGTCGAATTAACTGCAATCAAAGTTCTGCTCCTTCCGATGTGTATTATCGATCATATTTTTGAGTGTGTCTCTCTCGGCTTCATACCTCACTAGAACTATTATATGTCATTCGAAAGCACTTTTCTGCGCTATATTTCTGTATATCGCATATACGGAAATAGTCGTTTGAGGCCAAGTATGTTAAGAAATACTTCCGCCTGTGGAAAATGATCTTCTACGTACAAAAGTCTAAGATGTCCTATGACACGCTTCCTCATCTAGCCCTTACGATAAATATACGACTCGATAGAGAATTTCTGGCGCATGGGTAATATAAGAAAACGTTTAGAATTAGGTCTGAATGAACAAGTGATTGGAACATGGAATGTTATCTACGGGAATCTTAACAGCTATACTTATTCTTTTATAAAAACCAGATCAACTAATAGAGAAATGTGCGTAGTTGCCTAACGAAACAAATAACACTTTTGTATTTTTTGTGGCATAACAAAGTGTTCACGAAGCTGTTGGTCAAAGCTAATCGATTTTCTCACAGATATCAAGTCCGAAGGGAAACCAGGGATCTGAAACACCGTAAAATCACATGCTCTTTCACTCTAGACACCTTTTGTATCCGCATGGATCCTGGAGCCGCCTTTTCCCCGTTGACATTTTTTCTCTTACGTTGCGTTCGGTCCATGCGTTACCAACATCTATTTTCTATTAAGGCACAAATGGCTCTATGAATAGGGCTCAAGTTAATACACATTAGAAAACTTATTGTGTTACATATTCGCTAAAAATTTGAAGTTCGTGTCACCCATCGTTCTCAGGAAACAGGTGTTCAACGTTCAAAACTGTCTGTGCTATCTGGTACAGTAGCTGACTTTATTATCTATTACGTTTCAGAATTAAATATATCAAATTTATAAAGATCGAAAGCCATAACTATAGCAAGAATTTATTCACAATTAAATATATAGATAACAAAGGATTAGGAAAATTTGTATGCTGCTAGCGTCTTTGACAAATGCTGATTTAATCGTTCACACTTATCTTGGCCTGCAGCTCCCACTATCACATGCAGTGGAATCAAATGATCTTCATGGCCATGATTTTCTCGTGCGTAAGGAAGCTTAGTCCAGTTGATTACTGCTTGCTCTCTCTCATTGGGTAATAATGTCTGTAAAGTGTTTGTGATTGCATCGACAAACTCGTGACTTTGTGTTCGAGAAGCTCGTCCGTGAGTGATTGATCCAGATCCAATGATTAATATTCCTTGCTCTCTTAAGGGTGAAATAGCTTTGCCTATAGCCACATGTTGTTCAGGAGAATAATTATCTAGAATAGACATACTAACAACCGGAATATCGGCATTTGGATACATGAGTTTCAATGGAATAAACACGCCGTGATCAAAATTTCGTTTAGAATTTAACGTAGCATTAATACCAGATTGTTTCAGTAAGTCGAGAACTTGTTGAGCTAATTGAAGATCACCTTTTGGTTGAAATTTAATTTCATACGTCTCTTTCGGAAAGCCACCATAATCGTAATATAAATCAGTGTGTTGAGATTGGGCACTGATGTTGACAACATTCGAAGTTTCCCAATGGGCACTGATTAACAGAATTGCTTTTGGTTTATTTTGTTCATTTTGACCGAGTTGATGAGGTAACTGTCTAAACCATTTTGCACCGGCGCTATTTTTGTCGATGTCAGCAAACGACGGAAAGTCTTTGCCGTCCACGAACCAACATGGTCCAGCTCCATGCGTAACAAAAATGGTAGGTTGTTTGGATGATGACATGCTACAAAGAAACCATAAATTTGAAAACATTATCAAGACTGAAGTCCCGTACTCGAAAATACTGTTCTTTGACTGCTCTAACTAATTAATCGAGCTAAATTTGTCATTCCTATATAGGTAAAAAGTCAGATCTTGTTGCGTCACAGCGCACAACAATATCTGTTGCATTTAGGAAAGACACCTTATTGTTTTTCCTTATGACATTATACTACTTCGAATTTGATCGTGGTGAGCCGACGAAAAACGACATCGGTATTTTAAATTCTTGGCGAGACAAAACGGCAACGTCACGAGATTAGACGATAGAAAATCTCGTTTCGTCTGCAGATAGAACTCTATCAGAATCTCGAAAAGTGGAACTTTGAAAAACTAAAACCCTGGGGAGCAGAATCTCCAAGTTTTAACTCGAAGGCTTTTTGGAAAGCAGACGTCACTTTGATGAAGAAATGTCATATAAAACTTACAGACGTCTGAATATGCTCAGAAATATCACTTAGCTCAATTGTTTGAAAAAGCTTTCAGGGGAAATTCAGGGATTCGACTTTCTAGAGATTTACTTTTAGCGATTCTGATGAACTTTCTATACACATCCCTGAGAATCTGAAGTTTCTTCAGCTACTCAAATCAGTTTGAGATTTATTCCAGCCATTCCGAACGACGAAAACAACTTAATGTATAGGTTTTACAGATACTTTCAGCCTGCAAGGTAAAAGCAAAGTCGAAAAAGTTTTCTCTCAACGAGTAAGTGAGAATACCCATCCTCGTGGATTTTGTACCTATAATAAAGAATAATGACCTCTCTTGTCATTTGTACACCAATCATCCTCACTCTATTTCCTTCTTTAGTCATCACATTCTATCATTAACACATTGTTTACTTGCTTATGGGTTATACTCTATATCTTTGTGATTATTCGTTTCTTAGTCAGCTCCTCTAGATTTTATCCCTTTCTGTCACTGTTCATTTTGTCACTTTCTCTTTGTTCATGCATTAAATATACTCATTCTCATTGTACAGCACATATATTTCAGTCTATTGTATATTAAATTCAGTAAGGGAAAGAATTCCTTTACACCGATGCTTTACTTTTCACGTTTACATATGATGTTTTGCTATAATGAGACTACGAAGACTACCCCATGCTATTATGAAGATCAATGCCAAACTTAGTCGTTATCTCTCAAATATTATTCTGCTTTGTACATGCTCTATTTCTATTACTTTCTTTACTTTTTAAACTCGTAAACTTCATCTCGCACTCAAGGTGAGATGACGACAGTACTATAAAATGCGTTATAAAAAATCAGTTGCTAGATCCATACCTGCCAACAATAGTTGAATTTAGTCTACAGAACACAATAAATGTATATATATATATATACGTACGGGCTTCACTTTAACAGAATGACATGGCAAAAAACTACATGACAGAACGAACAAAAACAACATTGTAACGATGAATAAAACACGCGAAGAAAACATGCGCATGCGTCATTTGATTCATACTGATCGATCCCACTCAGAGACGCGAAGAATAAGATACACACAGCAGGCAATTCTGACTAAGCACGTGGGCATGGGCCATAAACGTGAGACCAAAGCCTCTAAAACACTTTTTTATAGGTTTTTGTATGCGCTCTTTCCAATGATGTGATTTACAAAGTTCAGAAACACTTTTAGTCGGGTTTTCCAGAGACCGACTATTTGGAAAAGTCTTATAAAAACACCTTCAAACTTGTAAATATCATACCATTGGACAGAGCGCATACAAAAACCATTAAAGATAGTGTTTAGAGGCTTTAATCTCACGTTTATGGCAATGTCCGCGTGTCTAGCCAAAATTGCTACGGGAATGCTTCATTTCATTAAATCGAATAATTTTTTGTGCATAAAAACATACAACTGGTATATCATTTCTATGCGCTAATTCTAAATATATCGTTAATTTTCGATGAAAGTTGGGGTGAGGAAAATGGATTTTACCTGAAAATCCAAGGTCATTTTGAATACCTATAAGTCAACGCTGGGGATAACAGTGTACATGTGTCATATGGAGAAGAACATCTTGCGAAAGTTTCATCGAGTTTGTATCATGGCTAACTACGGTGCATGCGGTTTACTGAACACAGCTTTTCGCAAAACACTTAGTAAAGCTTGAAAAATTATTTTTTTTGACGCCAAAGGCCCAAAACAAAAAGTTTTTTTACGAATCGATAGAGCATGAAACCCAAGCAAAAACGACCCAATTTTTTGGGTTATTTATCTAGATTCAGTTCCACGTGCATCTAGATGTACATGAAGTTGAATCTAGATAAATAACCCAAAAAATTGGGTCGTTTTTGCTTGGGAATCTAGTTTCAGAATAGATTTGATTCATTTAAGAACATTTTGCAATAAAAAATATTATTCTTCAGTTCACAATACGTTTTTCGACCTAATTTTCGTGTTGCCTTTTTCTAGTTAAATACGACAGATGAAATGACAGTTTTTATGCCATTAAGGCTTCATGTTACAGAAGCCCTATAGCAAAAAAAATACCTTTTCTGCACTTATATTGCATAAACGCACGCATGCGCCGCACGCGTTCATTGGATTCGTCATGATCGATAACCTCTAGCAAAACATCAACAAATTATTTAACGCTCAAACACTTTTTTAGCAGAACGTATTTAACAGAAACAAAACTTATTTTGCGCTTTTCTCACGACTGTTTTTTAGCTTCAGGGCTTTCGCCACGCACAGGAATTCTCGGTAATCACACATGGAAGAAAGAAAGGATAATTTGCAAAACATTTCGAAAAAACTTTTTTTCAAATAATTTTATATTTCTGTATATATTCTTGTAGAGCATCAAAAGTTACATAAGAACTGTAATTGGTTTTTTGAAATTCTTCTGTTATCCTATCGAAAAACTAAGGAGCATATTTATGC